TATCAACAGCAAAAAGTTCTAAAGATGAATAAATAGATTGTTCATTCTGGAAAGCGTATATGTGACGTAGTGTAAGCTTCTAAAAAAGAAGGGCGTCGCTTTTGCTGACTAGAGGTATAATAGGCAATTCATTTACTATTTCTCTAAAATATGCAGTTTTCATGATCTATGTAATCATCTAAATTCTCAGCTTAAAAAAATAGTGTTTTCACATCATCAGCAACACCTAGAACTGACGCTAAACCAGCGGCAATGTGGCCCACGGCGCTCTCAACCAACTCAACTCTCAACTACTCCCTCCGACGGTCGTCAGACTTGGACTGGCTTCTCTTGTGTTTACACTTTTTTCTTCCCGTCTGAAAAGGCTACTGCCTTGTCCTTAGCACACCAAGAGCAGATCCTGGCACACTCAAATGAATCTAGTATCCAGACTCTAATAATAGGCTAAGGACAATTATACCTTAACACAGCTCTGTGAAGAAACCCAGAGAGGTTTAAGCTATTTCAAACTACCATAACATCCATGTAGTTATTAAATCCATGGAATCAATCAGAATTTTTTTTCCAAGCATAAAATATATAAAACTACCTGAATTAGAGTTTTATTTCAAACAGCTATCATAACAATTAGTATTTTAACACTCTCCAGTTCTCTCTAATAAGCCCACTTAATCTCAGCATTTTTCTTCACCCACAACTGAAGTCAGAGCTCGGATGACTGTGAAGCACTGCACAAATTCAGTATTTCTGAAGATGTTTTAGGCTTTTGGCGTTTCCTCCACTGCTGCATAACAAACATCTAATACATTGTTTTAATATATTTGAAAAAATTATTTGCATTTGTGCTGCCATAGCTAGAATCATTTCCAGTAGACAACCTGGTTTGTTTAACAGCTAGCAAGAGATTCTCTGCACTACACTGCACTTTGCTATGGAAATACAGATGCTTTTCATGTTCAGATCTGACCTTATATAACAGGCTTTTGTGTTGCTGCAAAATTCTTTATGCATGGGTGAGGCAAACAGCTTTCTTATACAAATATAATACACATAGCATCCAGTAGTAAAATTCACATTGTTTCCAACGGTACAAGCTCAACCTTGTAAGTCATCTTATTTGTTGAGCTAGTTAGTATCATAGAGACAAGGAGCACATGCTTGGGCTGCCTTGTTCTACTTCTTTTACTTGTATACTAATCAAATATTAAATCAAAAGTAACCTCAAAGTTTTATTCAGCAAACTATTATTTTCACTGTTTCTATCCAGTAACTCTCCACAAGCATCCTTCCTTTCACAGGGATAGCGATAGAACACAGCAGTATTGATTCAACACTCAAAAACGTGTCTTGTAGCAAGTTGAGTTTTCTGCTGGCTTGTCAAAGGCTTGCTTAACCCCCCACCCCCAACAGTGATAGCAACTAGATTGTCACTTAGGGAAAAAAACTTGTAAAGCAAAATCATATTTGCGCTCTTTTATAACCTTAAAAACAAACAGACAGACAAACGGGGAAAAAGAGCATTTCCTTATGCTGCTCAGTATATGGCGTCCCTATAGCTGTCGATCCAAATCATGCCGACACAAAGAAAATAGAATAACAACAAAGAAAATGGAAAACATTAGGATGCAGGACACTGTCTAGTACTTTGCTTCACTCTGTACTGTGCGACAGGAATTGTCAGCAGGCTGCTCAGGCTCGCGGTGGAAAAGTACCGCCGGCTTCAAAAGCAGGATTCCCCAGCCCTGCGGGGCTCCCAAGGTTGTCACCTAGAACTTACCTGATGTTCAGGATTCGCTTTGCCACTCTTATTCACCACTGTTTTTATGCATGTACCAGTGTAGGGGAAGGAAAAGGGACATATTTGGCTCTTACAGCAAATTCACAGCAGTTACAAATTGTAGGCTTTTCCTGTGAATGTTACCAAACATGCTCCACCTGTCACAGAAGAAAACTTCCTTAAAATTTAAAAGCCTTCAAATATCAATATATATTTGTGTGCATTTGTGTGCATTTTTACACTAGTTTCCTTCAGGGAGATCCATAGGCCAATCTTGGGACATTTGAGCAAGACATGTTGTTGAGGTATGCGTAGGAGGATTTAGGTTCCTGCCAGCTTCATAAATTCGTCATTCATGTGGATTCTGGAAACATTTGAGCTTTGTCATTTTATTAAAAATAACAACAAACAAACAAAACCTAACAAAGATCTCTGTTGTAGAAGACCAATCAGTGCCTATCTCTACACCTAGGTAGTAGTCATCAACTGTGCCTTAGATCAGCCCGTTTCTCTTCCTTAATTACAGCGACTCAGGAAGGACTGTGAATATTGGGTAACATTATGCAACTGTGGTTCAAATTTGTATGCATACTGCTTACGAGTATCCACGCAGAAATTAAGAAAGTAGCAAATACAAGAAATACATTTTATGATAATACATATTTTAAATAAGTCATTTGTAAACCCTGCATGTAAAAAATTCTAAAGTGTCCAACCTAGCACATTATGCTGCACTGCAGATAAAGCAGTGCGTTGTGTACATGTCTGCACAAGAATGGAGGAAGGAAGAGGAGAAAACCTACCTCCATTCATCCTCTATTAATTTTTATATTTCTGTGTTAAACAGTTGTGGGATAAAATACAGTAAAATGGCCATGAAACTAGCTATCTGTCTTTAAGAAGGAGCCGAAGGTAGGTAATTTTTGTGAAGCGCTTTGAAATTGGAAAATTATGGGAGGCTCCAGTTTGCTGATATAATTTAACACATGCAAAGGCTTGTAGGCAAAGCGTACCTCCTACTGAAGTGTTCCTTTACACAGTTTCAATATTGATACAGATATAATTTAAATACACAATTAATTTTGATTCATATTACTAACATGATTATTATTTACTTTCCTAACAAAGCATCCAAAGCCTTAATTGTACGTGTCTATCACAAGAATAGCAGGTGATGAAAGATTTCCATTATAATGTGTCAAAAGTAGTCAAGTGATTTCCAACCCCCCGCCTTTAAACGGTGTGATTGTGTCTGCCTGTCTCGTCTTTCCTGCGAGCACGTGTGCACAGAGCATTGAACGTAATATCAGGCAATACGTACCAGCGGACTTGGTATCAGCTCGGCTGCCGGACGCAGTAGTGAGCGGCTCCACGCTGCCCTTGCGTTCCTCCTGGAAGAGCTGACCCGCGTCTCTATTCTGCAATGTCCATATTAGACGTATTCTTAATCTAAAGACCAGGTATACAAACACACCTCTCTGTTATCTTTACTGTGTATTGTTTAGAGTTCTGCTGTGTACTGGTTTAAATATAAAATTTCTATAGGGAATTCTTAGAAACCCTTATAATGCAGTAAATCCTTTAGTTAATTGAAGTAACTTAGCAGGCTTTTTAAGACTAATCACTGCTATGTACTTGACAAATATATCAAGATACTGTTTTCACAGAGCGAAGTTGATACCGTCGTTCATTATTTTATTACTTTACATTAGACAAATTGTTCCACTGAAATCAGAATTCTATGCGTCATGACAAAAAAAGGCATTTGCATCTCTTTCTGGGAAAGGCAGGATTAATGTCATCAAATGCTTAGAAACTCTTCTACTCAGTCTTTAATTCAATGTAAGATAATTTAGACAGTAAGAAAAAACTTCAAAAGACTCTGGAAACAGAAGTGGCCGGAACGTTTTACCCATTAACAAATGGTGACTTCTGCAGTTTGCCTCTTCAAGGGGAACTAGCTACTCTAACTTAGACATCTTACATTTGAAACTGCACGATAACCACTCAAAATCATTGTCTTTGGGTTGTTCTGTTTTTCCCTAATGTGCTGAGGATGCTATGAACCAGAAAAAATACACAAATGAAATGCCACATTTTTACAGGCACGCAAGCATTTAGTAGGAAGAATAAACTCCTTATGACTAGAGAAGAGCAGTGTATGTGCATTATATGTATACAGCTACCTAACACAAAAAGGGAAGATGAATAACACTGTAAAAATACCTTACATTAAAAATAAACTTGGTCTTTAGATACTCATAAAGCAGTGTGTTTTGGCATAAAATTGAGAAAACCACCCAGAAAAAACAACTTGACTCTGTATTGATCCAAGTCCTGTAACTGAAGAAAACTTGGGTTGATGTCAGACCAGTATTTGGTAGAGCAGAATTGCCAAAATCATATTTTAAATAACTCCACGTTTCTTTTTACTGATGAGACAGATGCCACGAAGAGGTCTGGGTTTTCATCTGTGAGCAGAAACCTCCAGCTCAGGCCTGATTTTATTTTCCATTTGCATAGGAATGTGACAGTTGCTCGTCAGCATCGCGGAGCGCTGCATGATTCAGCACGATTTCTTCCTAAGGGAACAGCTGACGAAGGCCAGATGAATAGAGGTGTTTTCAAATACACTGGCAGAAACCTGCAAAAGTCTTGGCTGAACTCTCCAGGGGTGGCAGTGGCCATTAATCTCTCACTTATATGAGCACTAAAACTCTATTAAGAGTGCTTTTTCGCACACATGCACACAGTAGCACTTTGGCATTGGAATTTGTGTTATCTCTGGGTGGGCGTGTGTGTGTGTGTGTGTGTGTGTGTGTGTGTATGTGAAAGGTATCCCAGCAATCAAAACCTCACGGTAATTCTCTACTGCTTTACTATAAATTTTTGTAAGTGCCGTGACAGATTTTGTTGTTACTATTATTACACAACTAAGACATAAGCATTCTGCTGCAGCTCTTTATTGCTACATCTCTCACCCATTAAACTGTAAAACCTCCTTGAAGGATGTCAAAGCTGTTTCTCAGATGGTAGATGGAGACTGAAACTAGGGAGTGCTGAGCAGGAGTCCTCTCCCTGTCCTGCTTCTCCACCCCCACGTACCAGATACAGAGTGTCATGCCGATGTTCAGCATTTCCCAGTCTGAAGCACCAGTTTCATTGCCCTCTAACAGCAAATCTGGATTCAGTTGTTAATAGTCTTCCTATGGCCAATTTGCAGGAGAGCTGCTCCCTCTGCTGAGTTTTCTGTCGATCGTCACCGGCACCTGATGTCCTTCCTCACCATGCTCGGCCCCAGCCCGGACTGGAACGTGGGTCTCTCTGCCGAAGACCTCTGTACCAAGGACTGCGGCTGGGTTCAGAAAGTCGTTCAGGATTTAATACCCTGGGATGCTGGCACAGACAGTGGCGTTACCTATGAGGTATGTGGACTATTTGTAATATACTCAAAACATAAAGTTTATGTGAAGAATGAAAGCTATTTGATCCACGGTTAATGCCATATATGCCTTCATACCGCTCTAGTCAAAATTTTGCTTATAATGAATTGAAACTCATTTAGACAGATGCTAGCTACAGTTACTGTCCGCCTGAATTCCCTGAGCGTTATTATTAATGGGATAATATTTCAGTCACCTGGGATATTATTATATTCACCTATCAAAAAAAAGGAGGATTTTGCTCAAAACTAGGCGTTAAGGTGTCCAAGCCCTTCGATACAGATCTGTGTTCATCAGCGGCCACGTCAACTTCAGTTTTCTACTGTTTCAACCCAATGCCAACCATTCTGCTTGGCACAGAAAACTTGCAGGGATTGAAACTCTGGACTTCTCATCACTACAAGACTCCAAAATCATCCATTTTCTCTGTCTCTGTCACTCTCTCAATCTAGGAAGACATTCACACCATCCTCAGGTAAAGTCCTCGGTTTGACCAAATGAGTTATGTCACACAGAATACGTCAAATTACTAAACGGGTTAGGTCTCCACGGGTGACAACTGTACCTATATTATGTGTCTGTACAGTCAGCATAGACAGCTGTAGTTAGGCAAGATCAGTCACATCCTCTAATACCACGCATAATTCCACATACCACACACATTTTCAGATGACAGAAGATGGTGGTTGTTTTCATTCAGACCTGGTCTCTTTAGAACCTAGGGAATTTATCCAGTTATAATGCAGCTTTGGAGGCATACTAAATTACTTTTTTTTTGTTAACGTAGTTATCTAACCACCCAACAAGGCATACAGCTTATCGTGAGCCCAGCTTCAGGGTTGAATCCCAAAGGGTTAGAGAGGTGCTTCCTGACAAAAAAACCCACAAAACCAACATCTTACCATTAAGTATGAACGTACTGAGTTGATCTTATATTGGAATTTCCCCATTTAGCATTTTGGAAAAGTTTTTGTTTCTGCAGATTAATTATACTATTAATAATAATTATTAGTTTCTTTTTTAACATTTTTTTTTCTTTTTCATTGCAGTCTCCTAACAAACCTACAGTGCCTCAAGAGAAGATCAGGCCACTTACAAGTTTAGATCATCCTCAAAGTCCATTTTATGATCCAGAAGGAGGATCTATCAAGCTGGTAGCTAGAGTTGTCATTGAAAGAATTGCACGCAAGGTATTTTTTATATATATCCATATATATAAAAAATATTCTCAAGCAAGCAAAAAACACCACTTCATAAACCAAAAAAACCCAATCCTTCCTGTCCCCTCCCTCCAAATCTACACTCCTTAACATACCCACAACAAAGATAATGACAGAAAAGAACTAAAACTGTTTTTTAAATTTAAACCTATATTAAGGTATTATTTATCATACTTCTGGTAATTTCTGCATCTGCTTAATTGGGGATTTTTTTTAAAGTATGCATAGGAATTAGAAGAGAAAAAAGTGCTGCAGATGCAATAGTGCCTCACAGTGTACTGTTTTAACGCCTCTCACTGTGTACAGGTATGAGTTTCCTATATCCAATCTCCACAATAATGTCTTTGCAGGGAGAGCAATGCAATATCGTACCTGATAACGTAGATGACATTGTGGCAGACCTAGCACCAGAGGAAAAAGAAGAAGGTACTTTTTAAATTAGTTTGTGCTGTACTAATTTATATTTTGTTCCATTGTCTACTGTCATTTCTAGATAAAGTACAAAACTGACTTAGGAGCAAAAGTCCCACTCAGTGCCAAAAAGTGATTTAGGTTTTTGTCTTTTCTGGCATCTACTATTAGCCTTCCCTTATACTGCAAAGAAATTGCGTGCATACCTGGGAGATATCAATAACAATAAAAGCAATAAGAGAAGCTTTTTGGAGTTCAAATAAAAAGATATATTTTTTTAGTGAAAGTTGGTAATTAGTCTTTTTTTTTTTTCCCTTTGGGTTAAAAATGGAGAAGATAGGTTGTAGGAAGAAAGAATGTATCAGCCTCTAAAGTAATCACAAGCCAAGTAGAGAGAAGCAGATCGAGGACAATCTATTTTTAATGTTCACTGCCTGTTCTTACTTTTTAGATGATACCCCTGAGACCTGCATATATTCAAACTGGTCCCCATGGTCAGCCTGCAGCTCTTCTACCTGTGAAAAGGGCAAGAGGATGAGGCAGAGAATGCTTAAAGCTCAGCTGGACCTCAGTGTGCCCTGTCCAGATACCCAAGATTTTCAGCCATGCATGGGTCCAGGCTGCAGCGATGAAGGTAATCACGAGGAAAGGGTGGTAGAGAAGAGCACTTTGTAGCGTTTATTTTTCCTTTAAAGTTCTTAAAGCTATTGGTTGCTGTATGAGTTGGGTTATGGCAAAGAGAGGAATAATTGCTGAAGAATGTAAGTTGACTCTGTCTCTGGTCAATTCTGCAGTTCAGCTGAGTCGGTGCCTGATGTATGGAGAAGTATAAAGGAAAGGAGAAAAGTAAGCAGCAGAGGAGAGAGTAGAATGTGAGAGGCAGCATAACAGTGATACTGCACACAAATAGGTAGCTAAAGATTTATCAGCAAGGATGTTAATAGTAGCCGTTGAAATGGTTCTCTGTATTTTAGATGGTTCCACTTGCATGATGTCTGACTGGATTACGTGGTCCCCCTGTAGTGTTTCCTGTGGGATGGGAACACGATCTAGAGAGAGATATGTGAAACAATTCCCTGAAGATGGCTCTATGTGCAAAGTGCCTACTGAAGAGACTGAGAAATGTATTGTAAACGAGGAATGTTGTAAGTATTTAATTCGCTTTGTCAAATCCAGACAATAGCAGGAGAAATGCCCAAAGCATTTTTTTTATATGAGCTCTACCAGTGAAATGTCTTCCTCTGCCCATTTTGAATAGCCCCTAGCAGCTGCCTCGTCACCGAATGGGGAGAGTGGGATGAATGCAGTGCTAGCTGCGGCACAGGGATGAAGAGACGACACAGAATGATCAAGATGACTCCCGCTGATGGATCCATGTGCAAGGCAGAAACTACAGAGGCGGAGAAATGCATGATGCCCGAATGCCGTAAGTGTCCATGAGTTTATCTCCTCTGCTATAGAGGCATCATTTCTGACACGTTGCTCCATCACACAAAGAATGTAGCGAAACCAGAAGCAATGTTGCTTTTTCTTCTCCTCCTTAAAATTAGATCCCTTCAGGAATGTGCATTAAGTACATTACACCAACAGAATGAGAGTATCAGTAAAAAATATTCAGTGGTATGCTATTACCATGTCGCGTATTATCACATATTACCATACGCACATCACGTACAGTGACGTGCATATTAGCAAGCCATACATAAGCAACTCTAATTTATGGAGTATTAGGTATATTTAATCATAAGGCTAGAATAAAACAGTGCCCTCTCCTTTTAGACCATGAACAGTTCAGAAATGGAGATGGTCCTTTTGTGCAGCCAGTATCACCCTTACTGTGACTATTAATTTTAATTTCTTATGAAATGTTCAGATTTTCATCAAAGACAGAAAAAAAATAAGTTTAAAAAGTTTTTTTGGTAGATAGAATGCGGATATATCACATTTTAGACTATATAAATTTGACTTCCAGTTCTGTCCACTGCAACAATCCAGGGTTTTTTACAGGAATTATGATTGAAACATACCTTCTTAATCTATTTATTCCACCGAAGTATTGGGACTCTGCAGATATGAATAAGATACTGAAAAAGATAGCAAAGAAAATGTGTTAAAACCAAGCCAACCTTTCAATTTAATATAGTGTTTTCTTCTTCAGCAACATCAGTCAGCTTGTGATTCATTTTGTCCAAAGTGACAACAAAGTATAATTGGTTGATGACAGATAAAACATAGTACGTTTTCCACCTGTATTATTTTCAAAGCGTATACCTTCGTAATTTACGTATAACAAGAATTCATTACCTTTTTATTTTCATATTAGATACCATCCCCTGCCTACTCTCTCCCTGGTCTGAATGGAGTGACTGCAGTGTAACATGTGGGAAGGGAATGCGAACCCGGCAAAGGATGCTGAAATCTGCTGCTGAGCTTGGAGACTGCAATGAGGAGCTGGAACAAGCAGAAAAGTGCATGCTGCCCGAATGTCGTAAGTGTGGGAAGCTCTCTGGAAAGAGGCAGCTAATTATGAGTGTCATAGTCCATGGGTCAAAATTTTATCACCATTTTTCAGCATCACTTCTTAGATAGGAGTGATATCAACTGCAGATTTTTTTTTTTTTTAATTGTTGCAGTAGTAGTAGTAGTATTATCATGCACTTTCAGCTGTTGAGAGCTGGAATATGACCATGTCTAAATTTCAGCTTGCCTTACTAAACCCAACGCTGATGACAAACATTGCTTTAGATACACAGTTTCTGCATATTTAACACACAACCTCAGGCAACAGTTTGTGCACTTCCCAATAGTAAGTCAGAATTACAAACCCCATTTTTTACTCAAATGCAGAACGTGAGGAAGGAAGGGAAGGAGGGAAGAAAGGAAAAGGAAGGGAGGATTAAAATCACTTGTGTGATTCTTTTAGCTCACAGAAAGAGCGCAAAAGAGGCTCATTCCATCTTTGATACATCTCTGAACTGTACCATAACCTTTTTACTGATCTACACCTCTTTGCAACCTGGAATATCATATGAGCCAGCGGACGGTGTGGAGACAGCTGCGTTGATTTTTTTACCTTACTCCACTAAAATCCTCCCCTTTTTGGGTGGTGCAAACTTCTAGTTGCTTTGCAGTCTTTGGAAGCGTGATTGATAGCCTAAGATGCTGACGAATGAATAAGATATGATTGCTTTTAGTGTCCTGTTGCCAGCTGGTTTAGGAGGCTTTATAACGAATTACATTATTTTTCACAGAAAGCATTGGTTAAAAAGGCTTTTACACTGTAATTTCATAGTTCAGCTTTTCTTAAATAATGTGAAATATCATTTTGATTATTATTCACTGGGGCTGTAAGCTTTAAGTAGCGCTAAAAGACTAAAACTTTTAAGACATGATGGTATTAGTGAATCTTGTTTATTGCATAACACTACTAGTAAAGCAAGGTTTAGATCTCAGAGGTATCAGATTCTTTGTAGATATAACTCAAATTTTAACAGCTTTTCATTATGAAACAGACATATAGGTGGGAAAACTGAAGGCGGCACAGGAGAACTATTCATACGTTCTTTGCAATCTTAGTGTAATTTTTCTTGAAAAAGAAATTGAGGAAAGTGTCAAATAATAGTTCTGCTAGAAATGGACTCTGAAATTTTTGACATGTAGCCTCACAACATTTGCTGGGAAGACTGGAGGCTTAAGTTGTGTTCATGTATTTAGGGTGTAAAAAGGTCATTAGGCACATCTGTGTGTTTCTTCTTGACGTTATGTTTTGATTTCATGGCTTTCCTGTAATATTTCTCATTCTTTGCAGCCATTGACTGTGAATTAACAGAGTGGTCCCAGTGGTCCGAATGCAATACCTCATGTGGAAAGGGCCATATGATCAGGACAAGAATGATTAAAATAGAACCACAGTTTGGAGGAACAGCATGCCCAGAAACTGTCCAACGTACCAAATGTCGAGTAAGGAAGTGCCTGAGAGGCCCAGGTATGGAAAAAAGGCGCTGGAAAGAGGCCCGGGAAAAAAGGAGAAGCGAACAAGCAAAAAAAAATTTAGATAGTGAGCAATATCCAGGTGAGTGTGAAACCATTTTTTAGCACGTTCATGTCTATTTTTCCTTTCTGCATAACAGGAGTTTGTGAGCAGCTCCGCTTCATGCTGCGAGAACATTTTCAGCATTTCAGTCTAGGGAAAGTTTTAGCAATGAAGTAAAGCATGGCCACTTTCGGCGTTTGCCTGTCACTAAAACCGTGTGACCTAAGTTTAGGGCACAATGGAGAAAGGCTCACATCTGTCCATGTCCCATCACTGCAAATATTTTAGCTTCTTCACTACGAAGTGTGGAATGTGAAAAACATCTCGAACTTAGACCTGGCAAAGGCCTGATTGCAATTTCTGCAGACCTGGGTGGTAACCTTTGCATCCAGTTACTTTTGAACTTTGAAAGTACTTATTCCTGGATCCAGTGCTGAATTTCAAAACTGAATTGATCCGCCTCAATAATCTGGTTCAGTCTCAGACTAGTCCGAGAGATCTGGTTGGACTCCTTTTTCAATAAGGGACAGTATTATCAAGCACTGATGCCTCAAATCAATAAAACATAACATCTTGTGGTATAGTTTACATTATCCACATGTGAATTACTGCTAAGTTGTGGTTCTTGCTTGTCTGACATTTAACAGTTTCTTAATTTTATCTGTACTTTATAATGTAAATTTCTTGTTTAATACATTTTTTCAGTGTTTGACAAATGCACTTTGATTAAACTTAACTGGGGTTTCTTAATTCCTACTGTCATAAACTAGGCAATATGCTGTCTTAGATTCAAAAGATGTAAGTAAGCCTGCACACGTGCATAGTGGTACACATATTGAGATACATAGGTTAGACCAAAATACCAAGAACTTAATCAAATGACTTATTCTTTCAGTTTGTAGGCTGAAACCATGGACTGCTTGGACAGAATGTTCTACACTCTGTGGAGGTGGAATTCAGGAACGCTACATGATGGTAAAGAAGAGGTCCAAAAGTACTCAGTTTACTAGTTGCAAAGACAAAAAGGAGCTAAGAGCATGTAATGTTCATCCTTGTTAACAAAATACAAGGCTTCCACGTGATGCACTCTGAGCTAAATGGAAAGTCAACCTTGGTTTGGTTTTTAAAACAAAAAAAAATAATATAAAGTGTATATTAGTTTTCATTTTTGCAGTGTGGTTTGCTTTTTAGTCTTGCTGGTGCAAGAAATATATTTTATAAATATTTCCTCACAGATTTATGCTGAGAGTAAATCTTTGGTACTCCAGCCAGCCCTTAATGCATAAAAATAGTAAGTCATTATGAGTCATTTAACTAAAATACAGACATATCTGTGGACATGGAATAGCCATATAGAAATACTACTTGTAAAGACATGGGATGCATGCATATTAACATAACTAAGTTAAAGTGACACGTTCCATATGTGGGAGGATTTCTCTCTCGATTTGATTTTGAAAATCCAAAGCAGTGCCTACGTGATTACACAACTATGCCAAGGAGTAATTTCAGTAATGCTGGTTCAATAATACTAAAGGTGCATGTTTATCTTTTTACACTATTGGATTAAGCTGATAGTTACAATTATTATCCTATATACTTTTCTTCACATGGATGCTATGTCCATGAGAAATGGTCTTTGTTTCTTCAAAACTTAAAAAGGAAATGATTTGTGCAGCACAATAGTGATGTCTGCCTGCTCCATTGTCACGGTCAAAACAGCACACAAAGAAAATATGTGAATGTTGTCATATATTTAGGTGCCATATTCTTATATTGGGTCTACACATTGCCTCACAAAATGGACACAGAACTAATAGAAATTGGTCCAAGCAGAGTCTTGCAACAGCTGTGTCTCAGAAAGGCTTCCACATGAGAGATGCTAAAAAATTTGGTTCAGTTTCATGACGATGTTAATCGCAGGCGAAGAAAGAGGTTTAAAATATAATAAAAACAGTAGAGAAAAGCTGAGCCAGGTTTTCTCATGCATCCCTTACAACAAACGAAGGGAAGGGAGCCTCTGAAATGAAACAATGACAGACTCTTAAAGTATTAATTAGAGACTGACACAAGAAATGTGTCTACAGCACTGTCATTTATGGTTTTTTACTCAGAGTATCGGAGGATCTAAAAATTACTAAATTTGTGAGAATTACTCATTTAGGTACGCTAGCCAGGATAAATGTCTTCCCTGACCACTTCAGCAATCAACAACCTGCCTGAGATTAGAAAATAAATAGCTCCTCGCCATTCTAATTGCTATCTTACACCATGTCCTGCAGACTTTAGCTCTCATCCCTATGCATAATATACTGCAGGACCAGCAAGACCTTGGGCTTCACGTGCTATTGGAATATAATACCGTCCTGTAAGTTTATCGATATAACATTAAAGATGGGAGGTGAAGGTAACGGGTCATCTTTTGGTCTAGGAAAGACAATATATGCCTATGTCTCTACATAAGTAATAACAATGCACTGAAAATAAAGACTGTTCATACTGACTCTTAAAATAAGCTTGAGAGAAATGAATGGAGAAAAATTTAATCTCTTTAAACCAGCCTTAAGTAATTCACTCACTTCCTTTACACTTGGTCACAATCCTGAGAACCTGACACCTGGGTTTTACGTGTCCGCATTTGATGTGAACCACAACCCACTGAGGCTGCTCCTCTTCACCATCACCACCCTGGGAATCCTCTCATTACCCCCCGTAGCCAAACGGGCTCGCTGGGCTGGCTGCCTTACACTGCAGGGCTTTTCATCATTTCTCCACTGAACACTGCAAGGGCTGCTCAGGACTTCCACAGCTGTTGCATTCCACCCCCTCAAGGTATTGTCCTGCTTTTTTTAGATCTGGAATGAAGGGAGGGCCAAGGAAATAATGGAATCAACCAGAGTGTTAAGCCTCTCCTGCTGCTGCTAAATGAAGTGGGTGCAAGCCCATAGCGAACCAAACCAGGAAAAAAAAGAATACAACAAGGTTCAATGCTAAAACCAAACATTTTACATTTTGCACAGCTTGGCTCATTTAATAATATTAATTTAGATAGTTTGCCTCCTCGTGCCTACTGAAAAATTCTGCAGTTTATGGCTCTACAGCACTGTCATTACAGTGTAGCAGCAAGACTGTCCCTAAGTAATGTATTTATGCCCTTACCTTGCACATTACCCTTTTATGACCAAAAAAAACCCCCAACAAAAACCAGTGGAATGATACAGATGCCGGAGGAGTGACCAGCTAAGCATATTTCAGGTGAAGAAACAGATTGCTGCAGAGAAGAGCTCCAGTGATTAACGCCAGGCACTAGGCAGGGCAGAGCTGCGTACGCAGTCCAGACCCACACCCCACCTTCCTTTGTGAGCTGCTCCTGCGCAGCCCGACAGAGGCTACCCCAGTGAGGCTAATCATTCACAAAAATATCATCTTTGACTATGAAATGTGTGACAGAGTTGTTTTTGTAGGCTTGGATCTGTGAGGGCTTAGGGCAGAGGGAGCAGCAGAAAAAAGTTTCTCACAAATGGAAAAAAAATGCTATGAGTTTATGGGCTATAATTTATCTCATCAACTCTTAGCACTTGTTCAAGCTAATCTTGCAAAACCATGCTTGTTTTTGCAAATAGTCAATTAAAGCCAATGTTGTATTTTCATTTTCACGTTTGTTCCAGTTCATCAAGCTGTTTTGTCTTTTAATTACTCCCTTTGCCAAAGGCTACACAGTCCAAATACACCTCTAGCTATGTAGGAAATATACACCACCTTTCTGAACGTTCTCACAAAATTGTCTGTTAAAACAATCTGGCATTCCTTTCACTGCGGTTCTTACTAATTTGATTCTCCATATACTTTTTTTCTCTTAGGAGGCTGTTCAGTGTGATTTCTAGTCATTTGTCTTAGGCTCATTAAAGTTTAAGTGTTGGAAAATTTTTTTTGCCCACCTCGTTAATAAATGCAATGACAACGTAGATTGCACTGGGTCAGAAATATATGATCATTCCTGATAAAAAAAAGATTTTCACACTGTTTTTCTGAGGTTCAGCTTTTCACACTGTTTTTCTGTTGATTTTTTTTCTGTTGATTTTACAAATCACTGTCTGTCTTCTAACTTGATACAAAAGAAATATTTAAGCTTGTTACATTTTGTAAAAAAAAGAACACAAACAAAAACAAATGAAGAGAAAATAAGAGGTTGATTTTCTATTCAGAAAAAAAAGCTCTGATATACGATATGTAGAAGTATTGCATTGTTACTGTAAACTTTCTAGTAGTGTAATAGCCACTGAGTATCAGTCAATAAAAATGAGAACTGTTATCTCTCTCATCTCCTGAGTAATACTGCTGAACTCGCAGCACAGATGTCACTCCAGTTTTGTAGACCTCAACTATCAGATCTTAGCATTGTGTGTATGGTGGATTTTTTCTAACATACAAACTGTAGAAGCTTTACCCATAATAAAAAAGAAAAGTTAGGGGCTTATCAAATGTACAGTAGGACTCTGTGTGTGCAGCATATCATTTAAAGAGAATTTTGTTTGATTGCATTTTTAGATTTCCTTCGATGTTTTTGTTTGCTGTGGAATTATGAAAAAGCTACCATGAATATTTCTTACCAAAGTCTTGTGTAGATGTTTTGTAGCTGTCTGGCTAACACATTATTATTATTATTTTGGAATAAAGACATCTTTACTATGAATTTTACACTTGTACGAGATTCTGTTCAACCGATATGATTATGTACACGCAACCCCCCCCACACTTACCAATATAAGGAATCGAGGTACGCTCTTATTTATGTTCTAATCCTGTTCAAGATAACAGGATATCTGAAGTGGGCTGCATTTTACTAGAGCCATTCATTCTTTCCGGTTGGAAGTTATTTCCATCAAGGTTTTTGACAAATATACTGTTGTTTTTTTAGAAATCACAGGGTAACTTAGGAGCATTACTCAAATTACCCTGTATTACTCTCACACAAGCTTTGTTGCTGCTGTTGGTTTTTAATAAAAGAGAAACTATTTAAAAGAATACATTTTAAAGCCCGGTGATACATGAATGGAAAAATTGTTAAAAATGAGCTTTAAAGAAGTCTGAGATTTTGTGAAACTTCCAACCGACTTCTAGAAGACTATTTAGGCACGCTGCTTGTGGGAGTCCATTAAAACTCCCTTGGCGTTCAGCTGGCTGCTCGCAGCAGAAAAACACTCGGTGCTTCCACGCGGCCGTTTCGAGGCAGGTTTGCCAGCGTTGAACGACGGCAGCGCGAGGCACCCCAGCAGCGCTGCTCGCCCGCAGAGAGCTGCCCGCCGACCGAGCGTCTCCACTCCAGTGGCACGGGGCGGCTGGGCAAGGGACAGGGCTGGAGCCCCAGGGCCCTCCTCTGGAGACTCTGCCGTAGCATCATTCAGTTTGCAGAAGCACAGAGGCAGATTGACTCACCTTTCTGTGATCCCTGCTTCGGTTTGTTGACGAAGAGTGGAGTTTCGGCAAAACTTGCTAATCCTTTTGTCTTGAAGTAAGACCGACAGCCCTGAGCCTGCCTGGCTCGAGCAGCGTAGCCACTGCAGTGCCGCAGTAACAGCAGGCTGGCTTAGCAGGACACGTCGGCGGGGCACCTTCCCATCATGTGTGACCAAGGGACAGAGACAGGCTTTTCTGAAGGACAATTTACAGCATCCAAGTGAACCAACTAACTCACTCCTCCTCCATTGAGAACGTGAACCTAAGTGAATTTATGCAGCCATTTAATGCTCTGGCATACCGAACGGCAGGACATCTGGAACACGTCGTGATCTTATGGGCCCATAAAGCTGTATCAGACCAGTTTTTCCTCGGAACGGGTCACAGCACGTAGGGCAGCACAGCGAACACATGGCCTCTTTAAATGCTATCCAAGCGACTGCTGGGGACCTGCACCTTAGGGTGCTCTTCTTTGCATGGCCAACACACCTAAACCACAACCAAGACAGCAGAAAAATGATGGGTAGAGCAGATCTTCATCCATGATTTGTAATGTGAATAAATCAATTCTCCTTCTAGAAGTATCTGCCGTTCTCAGGGCCACAGGTACCGAGTTTCTGGGGTGCGAAAAAACTAGCAAACTCCTGAAACTATGCACAGCTTGGCTAAAATCTGAAGCCTATCATTGCAGGCTATTTTGACAACTATCATTTCCATTTCTGATACGGTTATTAATGCCACCACATATTGTCACATGGCTACGCTCTTAAATGCAAAGCAAACTAGGGAGTGTGTGTGTGTGCATGTGTATACATAAAAACATATATATGATATACATATATATATGATATACATACAAATTTTTTAAATTTTTTTTTATATTAGGAAGCAACATACTAACTACTGGGTGGTGGGGGGGAAAACTTTACCACTAAATTGAAATGTGCTTAAAAATCTCTTGCTACCAAGTTTCAGGCACTTAGTGTTCTTTGCTCTACATGCAAACCTATTTAAGATCTTTATTGCAACACTTTCAACTTTGGGACTCAGTCACTTGACGCAGTATTGTGCAAAACAAGGCAATTACAGGTCACCTGAGTGATACTGAGTCCTGTCTCCTCGGGTTTCCAAAAGACAGAACAGTTTGTGCCATAACCGATGGGCACATCAACTGCTCAGTAGGCAACGACATTTTTCACATGTGGTCTAGGTAGTTTAATGCATTTAAAACACTACTGCTTGGAGCTCTGCATTCTTCTCATCCTCTTCATAAAAG